CCTGCTCCTCCACAAGTTTTTCAAGCGCCTCGAGTTTTTCTCTACTCAAAGGCCACTGTGCTACCCACTTTGGGGTGTTATCCAACCGCTTTAACTTGTGGGCATGGCGCTCCACAGTGGCTACTCCCGAAAATCCTGGGGTGTCTTAGGAATGATTAATTGGACTCCCCACTGGGACATGGTGTCTCTCCCCCACAGAGGAGCCTTATAGTCTGCCACAAACGGGCGAACACTTGCTGATTTCCCGTCAGGTCCCTCAATTTGCACTACATTTTTAGAAATTTTTGCCAATGTAGTTCCTCCTATACCCTGAAGTTTGCCTGCCACAGGTTGCAATTCCCAGTGTGATGGCCACATGGTTTTGGGTATCACCGTAATGTCTGCACCTGTGTCCAGAACACCTTCCACATGAAGGTATTCTGACCCATGTGCTAGGTTGCATGCCATGGAGGGTTTGTCCTCTCCTACTACTTCCGCCCAGTAGACTTCTGGAGATTTTCCTTCTACTGTGATTTCTACTGGGATGGGAATGGCTTGTGCCAGAAGTTGCCCCTTTTCTAGATAGAATGGAGGGTGCAAGCAACGTGCCAACAGCATAAGGCTGGATATTTTTCCCTTAGTAGTACTGGGAACTATTTCAATCTCAGGAGGTGTGTATGCTGTGTCCCCAATAACAAAATACTCACTGTCCAGTTCCATATCGTACGCCTGCAGGTCCTGAGGGTTTTTTGATAGGTCCACAACAATGACTTTCCAATCAGTGTTTCTGAAATGAAATCCTTTGGCAGTCACTAAGCGGGGTCGGCCTAGTGGCTGCCAAACCTTGTTAGCAATAAGTTTCACATTTTTATTTTTCTCTCTCCCCCCATCATAGTATCCACCCTCCCCCTTATTTGTTAAGAGAGAGGTATTGTCACATTTGTGTCCCACTATATTTATATCTTTGCGCGTAGCAGTGGGCACGCGCTGTGCATCTAGTTTTTTTGTTTGTTGATCTGTCTCTGGTTCTGGTTCTGAGGACAGTTCCTGGCAAAGTGTCCTGGTTTCTTGCAACGCAGGCAGATGATTTGCTGCAGCTGTTGTGATGATCTGGGTGGCTTCCTGGGGTTTGATGTAGCAGTGGCAACAGGCTGTAAGTCTGCTGGTGCTCTATGACTGACAGAAGTATCAAGCAGCTCTGCTTTCTTAGCGCAGGCCTCGATCATCTGGCCAAGAGTAGGTGCTGGATCAAGAGGAAGGCTGAGAAGAATCCTACGACAGGTCTCGTTGGCATTCCTCTGGGCCATTTCTTTAATCAACTCTGTTTGCACACTGGTGTGTTGCACCTGTTTTTCGACTTGGCTTCTCAAGCGATCCACAAACTGCAAAAAACTGTCAGAAGGAAACTGTTTGATATTAATATAACTGTATTCAACCTCAGTGCCTGGCAATTGATACAGTGTCTTTTCTGCAGCAGTACAAATTTTTTCCAAAACCGATCTAGATAACAGTCTGGTTTTTTTTTCTGGACATTGTATGTCTCCGGTCCCACACAAATGGTGTATTGTAAGGGGCTGGCCATCCATGTCGGTGGCATCACTGGGTGTACGCTGTATTTCTTGCAAAACTGTTTCCAAAGCCAATTTCCACTTACTTTCCCATATCTCATATTCAGAGGATGTTAGTAAACATTTAAACAAATCAGTTATATCTTTTGGCACCATTTCATTTGAATTGAATGTTGCCCTCATCAGACCCTAAAAAATCTCACTCGATCTCCCAAATTCTCTCTGAACCTTACAGATTTCTGTTTTGTCCCTGTATGGGAGAGGTTGGTATGTCCTTGTACCATTTCTTCTCCCTAAATAAACCACTGGAGTTATAGATGGTATAGATTCCTCGATAAGGGCAGGCTTGTGTTCGTCCCGCGCTCCCCCCACGTCGGTGAGGGGCAGCTCGCCCCCCTCCTCTCGGGCTGTCTGCTCCGCGGTGCAGACTCGGTCCCCGCCCCGGCTCTGAGCTGCCGGGCTGCCGTGCCCCGCCTCCGCCCTGCCGTCCTCGGCGCTGGGGCTCGGAGGAGTGCAGGGGCCGGCCCCGCCCCTGTTCCCGGGGCAACCCGGGGGCTGGCACTGATAAGGAGTTGCTATGGGAGATAAGCAGGCGTCGGAGGAGGGGAGGGAGGAGGGGGTGGGGGCGGAGGGGGTGGCGGAGGGCAGGGGAAGCAAACGAATGCGAGTGGGAGGGGGAGTGGGGGTTGGAGCGGCCCGCGCCAGTGAAACCACATGGCCGCCGCCATGATCTGGCCGCGTGTGCCCCGCAGATGCCGTGCTGGTCTTTAAGACACACTCCGGGCTGTATCTCTCCGAAAAACAAGGTGTTATAGGGAGATAAGGGGTGGGTGAGGGGTTTTCAGGGCTGGGGTATTGAGGAGGTGGGTAGGAAGGGGAAAAGGGAGTGTTAGAACTGTGTTTCTGCGTTTGCATGATTTTTTCTGCTTCTAAAATATTTTTCCGTGCTTGTAAAAATATCGGAATAAATCGAGAAACTTTATGTTCGCCATTTTCGACTTTTAAAGTTAATATCTGTCCAATTTGATTCCAAAAAGCAAGCGAATTCAGGTCTTGCACAGTAAAATTTGGTATTTCTGTCTGTAGCCAGCACACAAAACGCAGGAGGAGCTTATTAGGGAATGATACATGGTTTAAGTTATTGCTAAGATGTGTTAGTATACTCTTCTGCTCCAGTGAAATGTTAGTACCAATGATTTTAAATTGTTTCACTGGTCTAGTCTCCACCAGAGCTAATAACACAGCACGAATGATTCGAATTTCCCTCCGTGGAAAACCCGAGCTGGGGGGCACAGGGGGAGGGGCGGTCCTCCCGCAGCTGGCGGCTTCAGCCCTCTCGTCCCGTGCCTGTTTCCCCATGGAACGTGGGTATGCGCAGCCCACCGGTTCCCGCTTGCTCGCAGTGGGGCCCTGGCTCCCCCTCCCGCAAGCAGCCCCCCCCAGTCACTTATGGTAGCCTCTCCCGGCCAGGCGCGGTCCCGGGTGCCGCGTCGGAGAATTTACCAAGCCTGTGACTGCGGGATTCGTCTGTGAAACCCTCTCTGGGGGTTCCCTCTCCAGTCGGGTCTCCCTGGGGTACGCAGGCAGAGGTCCCCGACTGTCCCCGTGACTCAAAGCTTTTAAAGGCAGCTAGAGTACTAGGGCAGTTGACTGTCCCAAAGGCTTTTGACTCCCACCGAAATAGGGGGTCCAGCTTCTTCGTGGGCTCAGAGTAGCACACGTTGGGCGCCAACTGTTATTTCTATGGTTTTCCCCCCCTCCACGCAGCCCCCCGAATGAATCCGACTAGCTCAGAGATATGGGGCTGTGAGGGGAGGAAATAGCAGGAGAGGGAAAAGTGTTCAGAAGAGGCTCCTTACCCAGGGTGTTGGAACAGCTCTCTTTATTCTGTGGTGTCCATGGAGAGCGGGGCAAAAGAGAAAGAGCAGGAAGTTTCAGGGGTCTATATAGGTTTTGGACAGGGTGGGCACTCCTGGCTCCCTGCCAACCCCGTTGGGGCAGGAGGGAGGATTCAGGGCTTATCATGATCAGAGCCACAGAGGCCCTAGGAAAGGGGGGACAAAAGGGTGTCCAGGAGCTCACCGTAACAATCTATAACATGTTCTTCTGCCCTGCCGCAGGTCTGTCCTGCAGGGCAGTGTGCGGGGCTCTGCCCCCAGTGGGATGTTACAAACATTATATACCAGAAACTACGTGTACTATATTTACAATAATGTGCCAATATCTATCATCTACGTTGAACAGTGTGTCCCCAGCCTAAACCAATAGAAAAATGCCAACACTACAGGGAAACATGGAGGGCATGGAGAAGGAGGAAAAGGACAAGACACACCCAATTCCTCCATCTTTTCCCCTCTGAACCACTAATCTAGAAACCTAAAATTTTACTCTTGCACTCGTGTCACACTTAATTATTACTCTTATCAAACACTCAAAGCTTGTAATTCATCCTGTAAGATTGAAAACTCCTCTCCATGGACAGAGATCACAGACAGTGTCTCTCGGGGCTCTGTACAGGGGGGTTTCTGACCCCTGCCAGGGTCCCAGACCTGCCAGGGCAGCCAGAGGGAAGCCCTGGATTCCCACACCCAAGGATTTTTAACTGCAGTGAGACAGGTAAATTGTGTTTGATGTTTTATTCTGCTTATTGTTTTATATGCTTTTTTTAACAGACAGTATTGTCTGATGAAGGATGAGTTTATACATGTGGGAAGATTGTGACTGTCTAACATTTCCTGAGTTAACTGCTTTAAAATGAAGCAATAAATGCCTGTGTTGATCAGCATAAAGGGATATACGGGAAACAGTAAGCATCTGGAGTGTGCAAAATTAAAAAAGAATACTGAGGGGAAAATACAATGGGACCTCAGGGAAAAAAAAGCCCAAACTTTGTTACAAAATATTTCTTTGAGTGAACAATCCTAAAATAGGACTATCTTTTGCATCCAAGCTTGTGGAAAAGGTTTACTAGGAGGATTGAAACCAGTTGGAAATGACAGAATTTTATGGTTCTGTAAAAAGGAACTGTGACTATGTAACAACTTAATATCCCAAGTAAATACCAAAGTGAGTTTCTGGACTTTGCTGTGTTGTAAAACAAAGAGAAATGAGAAGGAGGAACGATCATTGAGCTATAAATCTTGAGTTCTTTTTGATCATCCATGTCACTTCAGTACAGGGCAAACATTCATTCCAATTACTTCAAAGAAAGATTTTTGAAGCCATTGGGAGATTAAGATAAAACTTGGGTTTGCCATAACTTATTTGCATGGCATAGTAAAGAACTGGGCTACAGAGAGTTGAGTATTGTCCAATGCATTAACTAACAGGTTTTTTTGCGGTTTCTTTGCATAGCTTTATAGCTGAGTGAGTTCTTACTCATTAGAAATACAGTTACTGAAGAGTAGAGGTGCAGGAAAAGGAAGGTAACCCCAGAAAATATGTTCACTTACCACATGCAGGTAATGTTTTCTCATCTCATCAAAAATGTGGAATTTTTGTGTTCACAAAAGTTGGCTACTATTGACATCCAGCGGCTGTATTACTTGGTATACTCTTTAGATACTTTCTATAATAGAAAGAAATTAAAATCAAATATAGTGGAAAAAATACTGAAAGTTTTCTTGCAGTGCCATGCCATTACTCCCTTAGAGAAAAGTCAGACTTCTCTGAACATGACTATTGTAAAGGATTGGTGGGATTTTTTTGTACTAAAGAGGATATTTTATGACCATACAAATATATTTCTAATAACTGCTGGGAAAAAGGATTCTGTGCTCATGTAAAAAATGTAACCACCTAACTTTTGTCTGGTTTGGGCAAGAAATAACGAGAGCCAACAAAGGATGGGCTCTTGACAGTGTAGTGCTGTGCAATGAAGTCACTAAATGGATGAAGGATGATATCACAAGCCCTCCTTCAGAAGGTGTCTATGTGTATGGGCTGTATTTAGAAGGAGCTGGTTGGGACAGAAGAAACATGAGACTGACAGAATCTAAGCCCAAGGTGCTCTTTGAGCTGATGCGAGTTATAAGGATATATGCAGAGAATAACAGTAAGTAACAGTATTGTAAAGGATGTTATTTCCATTGAATTCAAGGTAACATTTTATTTAACTGCATTGAAATCTTTTGGGCTGCAGGGATTTCATGAGGCTGCTGCTAATCATTGTATACATAGCAAATCTCTTTCAATGGGGAAGACTTTCCAGTCTTCCAGTGAAAATGTGCTTTCAGACTTGCTTCATAATTGATAGTAGTCAATTTTCCTAATATTTAGATAGGTCTCTATACGTGGTGTTAATGGTGTTAAGAGCTTTGTAACAGGTAAGCTGTACATATTGACAATATATGTCCCAGACCTAAAATGCCATTTTTCTTATACATAAACTCTGTGATCTCTGTAGCCTCCATAACTGAAATAATCTCTTTCACTCCTGTCAAAAATGAATGTAATTTATATATATATATATATATATATATAAATATATGTTTGTATGTATATACAACATACAAGATACTCACAGATTATATATACACACACATATATATATACACATATACAGGTATATATTGTATTTATAGATAACATATTTATATATATATACATATATATAAAATGTGTATATTTATAAAACCTTTTTTTTCTGGACAAGTCTGATTTTGAGCTCATGGAAGCAAGCAAGAGGTGGAGTGAGGTGGTGGGAGATGCTTTGTCTTTGAGGAAGTAAAGGAATGGAGGAATGGAAAGGAAACTTATGGGGCTAAAGGACAGTGCTGTGAAAATGTGTAATTTATCTTAATGCAATGGGTTTTTGCATATAGAATAGGACATGCTATTGAATAGGCATGTAAAACAGAATAGAATAATCCACTGCAAAACATAAAATTGGAAAACTCGGTTGAAAAGCGTTCCACCTCTAAAAGCAAATCTTGCTAACATGCTATTTTGCATAGCTAATGTTTTACAAAAGGCATGATCAGCAGCCAATATACTAAATAATGAATACTGAAGTACTGAGCATGACTAGACTACTGTTCTAATTCTGTAGTGAAGTAGTTGATGACTTGTACTATATAGTACAAATACTAAATACATTTCAAACCAGGTTGTTGAAAGTAGGGAAATTTTATTTTGGTATAATACATTGATAAGAAGTAATGTTCAGTGGGCAGATTGAAGCAATAAGAACACTAATTACTCTAGAGTGTCTATTTACATATAGTGGTTTGCATCTGTTCCTAGGTGCTCATGTTAAACCCAGAGAAATTTCAAACCATGTTATGTCCTTCAACTGGCAATAGCAAATAGAGAGCAGAGTACTATTGAACTTGGATTCAGTTCTCCATTTGCCTTATGTGTTGCCTTCAGGGGAGGCAACGGTGACCTGGTTGCAAGAAGACAGCACGGCAGCCCGGCCTTGTCCGGGCTACTCGGGCTAACGACAACACACTAACACCAATGTGGTGGACGGTCGAAAGCATTTATTATCTTATCTCATGGGTTTAAATAGTCTTGGGGGACTTTGCTACGTCAGAGGGGGGGTTGGTAGGGTCTCTAGGTTAGTCGGGAGTGGAAAACTACTGGGTTAGGTGTGGTTACATGCTCTGGGGGTGATAGATAACGTGAAGCAGGGAGAAGGGGGAAGGGTCTTTCTTTCCGTCACATCCCGAGATCTTCCGCTCGCCCGTCCCTATCTACCACACTTATGATCATTCCCTTAGGGCCCCATTTTTTCAACTTTAATTGCTCTTTATGTCTCTTTTGTCTTTTCAGCTGCAAAAGATCCACGTCTGTATTCATGTCCGGTCTACAAAAAGAGCAGTCAAACAGATCTTAATTACATTGCTGCTATGGATCTTAAAACCCGTCAGCCTCCAGAGCACTGGGTACTCCGTGGAGTAGCCCTTCTGTGTGATGTCAAGTAGTGTTAGGAAAAAAAAAAGGTTTATTTTCTGATTTTAAATGCAAACATTTTTATGTAGTTAGATACAGAGTGGAACACTTCTAAAAATATTATTTCTAAATCATAGACTCCATTATGGTGTTTTTATAAAATTATTCTCAATAAACTTATACAATAGGCTTATAAATGGCACATCTTACAGTGACATTAACTTTGTGTCTTTGAAAAATCATGACAAATATTTAGTGCTCCTATCACTTATGTGTGCATAAGCCCTCCTCCTGTGTGCTTAATTTTACCTTGAATAAAGATTAATTTATTTGAACATTGTTACTTTTTGGTAGTAATATTATTGTATCAGGACTTACCTTCAAGAGGCTAAATGGAAAGCTATTTGTTTTTTGGTGTTTTTTTTTTTGGCTTTGTTTTGTTTTGTTTTGTTTTGGTTTTGTGTGTGTGTATCTATAGAAAACTCAGCCCTATTGCTCATTCATATTAGTTAAAATTCCTCAAGATTATGTTCCAAGATTTATTTCCTAGATGATAGTTTGGTTGGAAAAATATCACATTTTTTTCATTACTTGGAGAACAAATTCATTTTGTTACATAGGAAAACAAGCATCTGACAGCTGCCAAAATTCCTTACTATTTGGCTCAGGACTCATAAATATGTAATGAATCCAAAACATTACATAAGAGTGAATGGATTCTTTTTCTGTGTTACTATACCAGAGTTGAGTCTCTTGTCATCAGTTATTAGTAGATGGGGCTTTCCCCTTTCCCTCCCCATCCCTCCCATTTTCCTTCTTCCTTTTTTTTAAATCTCTCTCTTTTTTTGCTTGTATGCTGAAGCTTTTTTGGTGTCTCACATAGAAAACCTTTCATGGAGGAATTAATCGTAAAAGGGAAACATTAGCAGCTCCATTTAATTGGACACTATGGGCCTCACACTTCAAGCACACATATTTATTTAATCATTAAAAAAAAACAGTATATTTTTGTTGCTGAGTTGAGGAGCTCATGTGTCTCAGAGGTCCACTAACCATTCCCAAAGTTTGCTTCTTCAAAAGAGGAAGCAGAGAGACTCAGTATTCCTGCTGCATCTGTCATTCATAAAGGCTAAAATGTAGAACCTGTTTTCAGTTTTATGTCAAATCAATACAGGAGACTTCATTTCCACAGTCAAATCACTTATAAAACTTAGGTGGAACATTGATTCTGTAAAACAAATTCCGATTGTAGAGGTCTTTCCCTGTTGGAATTATTATTTTTTTTCTTTTAAAAAACTCACAATGATGCAAATGAAATATGTAAAAATCTTTTATAGGAAATATTTTAATTTAGACATGGCAATAGATAAAGTTTGAAGGGTTGAAGTGTTTATTGAACCTTGAAGCACCATGCTCCAATTTCCAGATTTCCAGATACTCACTGGAGTTCTAAGTTGCCATGGACTCATGTCTTTCACCAAGACCTTCCTCTTTGAAGAAGATGGACATATTTCATCCTTGTGCAAGTCATTCATACTGAGAATTTACAAGCCACATGCACTTCAAATACCACTTTTAAATGGGCATTTTTTGGTACTATTGCTGTAGATACAGTGGATACATCAAACACAACAGTAATTCACTGAGGGGACTGTGCACATTTTTTTTTCAGAGTGTGATTTTCTATGGGAATAGTAAGGCAAAGGATAATTCCCACACTGGTGATCCTAGTTATTCCAAAGGCTGTTAGGTCAGTGAAACAATTGATATTCACCATCACTGTTATTTCTGTTGTTTTAGCTTTCATTTTCTAAAAGGTTTGGCATAGTCTCTTTAGGTGTCTGCAAAATCACTATCAGGTCAGGGATGGAAAAATAAGGCAGGGGAAAGTTCAATGAGCACTTGAAATGTAACATTATATCAAGGGCCAGAGTGCATACCTTGCTCTCCCAGAGGTTTTGCTGCCTGGGCTGGGAGCATACTTGGAGCAGCTCAAATCACACCTGCCTCATTTACTATAGCCTTGCCTTGATCTGTGTGGCACTCTAGGGATCATCTCTTCAGACCCTGCCTTGCTGACTCATCTTTCTGGCTTGACCTCAGATCTCTACTGTTATTATACCCTCATCTGGAAGTCATTGATACATTAGCTGGCCATGGTTGCTCTTTTTTTTGTTCAAGTGCCATGGGAATGCGTCCTTGTCAGAGAGAGCTTTGCTCTGCCCACCCTGCTGTGGCTCTTGGCGTCCAGCTCCACTGTCCTGTCCAAGCAGCCTGCCTTTGTTGTGCCCTGACATATGCCTTAAACAGGGGAAAAAATAGCTCTTTATTGTTCATCTTCATCATATCAGAAATAGGTGATGAAATCCTTCAGTGGAAAGGCATATCAGTAAAATAACCAAACCTTGTGTATTGTAGAATTGGATGTCTAGAATTCTTTGGTTCTGCTATTGGTACTGAATGGATTAGTCAAGAAATACTATTCAAAGACTTCAATTATGCTGCTATTAAGCATGCAGCACTATAAATTCGTGGGTCTGGAGGAGTTCAGGATTATAGAAGGTATTCTTTATATGAATATCTCATATTTGGCATGATAAATATATGCATTTTAGAGAATATTTAAAAACGAACAGGATACAAATTTACCTTGGAAATGAATAGTAAAATAATGTTCTGAACAAGGTGCAGATAGATTCATCATTTGAAATGCCTCATAAATTTTAGACTTTTTAAAATAAGCAACCTAACCTTTTAAATATATACTGTGCTGTATAGGGTACACTACTACTATATGAACTTCTCTTCAGAAAATATTTTTTCCTCGAGCTCTGTGACTACACTCATATCTCTTAGCTCCTAGGTCACTTTTCTCACAGTTGTTGATTTGTTGCACTTTCCAGATTATAAGGAAAAAGAAAAATTCAAGTTTCAAACACAGTAGGCAATGCAATTCCAAACTATCACTAAATATGGTTTTCATCACTGAAAAGGATTTTTTTTAATCTGAAGTACATTGTTATGGTATATTTACAAAAATTGGATTAATAAGAAACTGCTTCTTATTCTGAAATATCCTTAATAAAATTATTTTCATAATTAAATCAATATTGGAGAAAATTCAGTTTTTCTTTATTATTAAGGTTCTTTTTTTCATTCTTTGTTTGGACAGTTATCCTATTTTAATTATGCAGAGCTGGATGTGCTAAATGGCTTCCTAATGAATTTTGAAATAAAGCTTGACTAGTATTCATATTGCCACATTTTAATTTTTAGCATTCACATTACAAAGACATTATGGGTGTATACAAATATCTGACGGCTTTTGGAACACAAAGAACACTTAGAAAATGAATGCTGCAGGTGTTCTTCACGTGCTTGTGGATCCCAAGATGTACCATTTGCTGGAGCTTCTGGCATTTAATTTGTACTATGCAGCTTTTCCAAGGGCTATATTACTCTGTAGCTTTTGTAATAATAAAATTAAAACATCCAGTGTAAGTGATCATCTGTTATGCATCTGTATCTTAACATAGGAAAATGTAATTAAAATTTGAGCTTTTCAAACTAAAAAACGAATATATATGCTACCAATCTCACTTTGCCCTTGAAGTCTACACATGAAATTAGAAATTTCTTGGTATTTACTGGCACATTCAATCTTTTAAACAAATGTCCAAAACAAAGACCTATTGAATCAACACTGGAAAAGTTGGCAGAAGAAAAAGAGGGAAGAAAGGCATAGTTAAAATATTCTTTAGATAGAGATGTTATTTTAAATGGATACTGGCCTTTAGCTTTTTAGTAGAGTTATTATTTGCATTGCAATCACTTGGAGAACTGAAGAAGTTTTTTTTAGCTTTTTCTATCAAAGGGTATGAGCTATCTTATTTTGGTTAGAAAAACAGCAGATGTTTTCTGATGTAAAAACATGATTTTTTCTCCAAAGGTGTTATCTTAGAACAAGAAAACCTACACACAGAAAAAGAAGAGTTAGGAAACTCTGTGAACCGTCTGTGAAAAGAGGTTGACATGATTGAACAGAAGGCAGAGTAACTTGTTAAGACACTTTTTACATGAGCTGCCTGCAAATAACAAAGTTTTCAGTTTCCCTGTTAAACTGCCACAAGAATGGCAGCCAATATATGTAGCTCCTCCTGCAATGTGTCTCCCCCCACCATCTTCCATTTCTTGAGTATAAAATGTGCAATTTTTGCAGAAAAATGTAACCTGGAATCTCTTCTTAACTGACCTATTTAACTTACTATATTGAATATCACATTATGCTTTCCTCTCTTTAAGCTAAATTTGTTTACTCTCTTTCTCTGCATGAACTGCAATTGCAGCAAAATAATAGTAGCTTAGTTTGGGAAGAGCACTGTAAGTGGTTCATCTTATCTTTCAGTATATTTTCTAATCTGATTGATATATACCTGGAAAGGAAATGTTAACTGATTATGAAACTGATAAGCCCTGTAGAAGATTGTGACATGAGCATGTGCATGCTTAGAAATGCTTTGTGAAGATGTGCTCAGTAAAAGTCCCTTCTGCAGGCCATCATTTTCACAAATCAATTCCTTTGTGTTAAATTTCAGTACTTAAAAGGGGTTTAAAAGAAAGATTTGGAAAAAAACATTAGTAGGGCTTGTTGTGGTAAGACAAGGGATAATGGTTTTAAACTAGGAGAGAGTAGACTTAGACTAGATACAAGGAAGAATTTTTTTTATAATAGAAGTGTTGAAGAAACACTAAAGCAGGTTGCTCAGGTAGGTGGTAGGTGCCTCATCCCTGTAAACATTGAAGGCCAGATTGGATGGGGCTCTGGGCAACTTAATCTAGTTTAAGACTATAGAGAGGTTGGAATAAAGGACCTTTAAAGGTCCTTTCCAACTCAAGCCATTCTATGATTTTATTACTTACATAAATTAGTATAGTTTCACTTAAAATACTTTGTGTAAAATGTGCAGATGAGATAAAATAATAATCATTGCAGCTGAAGCTCCAATGACTGTGCCTTCCAAGAAAAAATGTTTACTTCATTTTACTAATGAAATAAGTTGCTTTGCATTTTTCTTGACACTGCATTGTGGTGTAGTAAAGCTCAAAAATGCTTGTAGCATGATTTCCTTTTTACATTTTTGTCTTCAACATCTACAGAGAAATTCTTACTTCTCAAATAAAGCTGTTCTTTATTCTTTCAAAGTAAGTGGTTTGAGGTGAGTTATGCTTGATAAACAATGAGTTTGTTACTTGGACAAAAGGAGAAACCAATTAAGAAACACATGATCTGTGCAAAACAGAAGACGTTTGACAATGGGAGGAGGTATGTCAGAAC